CTCCTACCCATCCTCCCCTGCACACCTTCGTACCCGTTTCCCCACCCTCTGTCACCAAACTCATCCTGTCCCTGAAACCCACCACCTGCTCCCTTGACCCCATCCCCACTCCACTCCTTATCTCTCAGCTACACCTCCTTGCCCCATATATCACAGACATCATCAACCTGTCCCTCTCCTCTGGCTCTGTTCCCATTCCCCTAAAAACTGCCATCATCACTCCCACTTTGAAAAAACCCTCGCTTGATGCGTCGCAGCTATCAAGCTACCGGCCCATCTCCAACCTCTCCTTCCTGTCCAAGGTCCTTGAAAGAGTTGTCGCCTCCCAGCTGCGCTCTTTCCTCTCCACCCATGTATTATTCGAACCCCTTCAGTCGGGTTTCCGTGCTGCTCATAGCACATAAACCGTCCTGGTCAAGGTCACCAATGACATCTTGACCATCTGCGACCAGGGTTCTCTCTGCCTCCTCGTCCTCCTCGACCTATCGCAGCATTCGATACGGTCGACCACGCTATCCTCCTCCACCGTTTGTCCTCCCACCTCAACCTTCAAGGCCCTGTCCTTGAGTGGTTTAGGTCATATCTCTCCCACCATCTTCATTTTGTTTCCACAAATGGCTTTTCCTCCACCCCCCGCACTGTCTCGTGCGGTGTCCCTCAGGGCTCTGTCCTCGGTCCCCTCCTCTTCACCCTCTATATGCTCCCCCTTGGTGACATCATCCGCAGACATGGGGTTAACTTCCACATGTATGCGGATGACACCCAACTCTACCTTTCCTCCTCTACCCTCAACTCCACGACCACCGATGTCCTGACAGCTGCCTGTCTGACATTGAGTCCTGGACGAGAGACAACTTTCTTCAGCTCAACGTACGTAAAACTGAGGCCCTCCTGATTGGCTCACGTCAGCGCCTCCGCACCTCAGGCGCTGACAGCATCAGCATCCAAGGCTGCACTCTCCACTCTCAAAGCCCGTCAGGAACCTCGGGGTTCTGTTCGACCCTGAGTTGTCCTTTCTTCCCCACATCCACACCACAACTGGCACCGCCTTCCATCACCTCCAGAACATCACCAGACTACGGCACTACCTCACCCCTCATGCTGCTGAAACTCTGGTCCACGCCTTTATCACCTCAAGGCTAGTCTATGGGAACTCTCTCCTCGCCGGCCTTCCCGGCACCTCCCTCCACAAGCTGCAGGTCATTCAGAACTCTGCAGCTCATTTACTGTCCCACACCAGGCTTCGGGACCACATCACTCCCACCCTCGCTCGCCTCCACAGGCTCCCCATCCCCCAGAGGATCGAATTCAAGATCCTCATCCTCGTATACAAGGCCATTCACGGCCTTGCTCCCTCCTACCTCTCTGACCTACTATCCCCCTATCTACCTGCCCGTACCCTCCGTTCCTCTAGCTCCGGTCTGCTCCACATCCCCCGCCCCAACCGCCCTACCATCGGTGGCCGGGCCTTCAGCCTCTCAGCCCCTAGGCTCTGGAACTCTATCCCCCAGTGCCTTGCCTCCTCCTCCCTTTCCTCCTTCAAGGCCGGTCTCAAGACCTTTCTCTTTGACCGTGCCTTCAGCTCCCCTCTCGACTCTCTACCCCCTCCTCGTCCCCTCCCTGCCCTCCCCTCACCCTGACCATTTCCTCCCTGCTTGGGTCCTGACCCAACTGTACAGCGCCTTGGGACGTCCTCCTGACGTGAAAGGCGCTCTATAAATGGAATCTTGTTATTGTTGTTTGATGAGTCTGAGGGAGATTACTTAGGTCAGAGCTGCGGGACAGAAGACATTGATGGGAGCGAAGGATCATTTGCAGAAAGTTTGTCCTCATCAAGGACCTGATGTTTGCCAAACTAGCTGACAGATCATCAGGGGACCTTGTGAAGGGTTGTAAGAGGAGTGTCATCCGCATATATGTGGAAGTTTACTTTGTGTCTCTGGATAAAATTGGATTAAATAGATGAGGAAGAGGAGATGGGCAAAGAGGGAGCCCCGGGATACACCACAGGTGACCGAGTGAGGGAGTGAGGAGAAACCGTTAGCAGAGACAAAGTGAAGGCTGTTTGTTAAGTAAGACCTTCCTTTTCAATTCTCCTTTGGTCACCTTCCCTCCTCCACCCTCTCACCACCATGTCCTTCACCCCTCTCTAGTCCCAGTCCGCAGCTCGGATGTCCAGTGCCATGGTACATCCTCCTAGCAGGAAAGACTCCATATAAATGTAACTTATTATTGTCTTTCTGTGGCTAGATTTCTCAACAGGCCTCCAAGTCCCTTTCCAACTACCGTAGTATATACCTTCACATCCCTCTTCCTGTCAGAGATGTGTCCAAGATCCAATCCCATAGGCCGCACTGTTAATTATCACATCTGTATCTCTTCTCGGCTTTCACAACGGAAATCAGGGAATGTTACAGGGAGGCAGAGAGATCAGCTGCAATGTCAAACTGGGCTTCTCTATCTGTAAAAAAACAGATAGGTTTCACATTGCTTGAGTGGCAATGATAACCTGTCTTGCAGTAGTGGGGGTACCAGTAATACTTAACATGGAGATTTATGAGCAGCTGGCATAAGGAATTTGACTCTAATTAAATAGGAAGTGTATCTCTGAGACTCATTCTCCCAGACACTGAGTGTCTAGGAGAAGAGAATGACTTACAACAACAAAATTACATTTATAGAGCGCCTTTCACGTCGGGAGGACGACCCAAAACGCTGAACAGTCAGGTGTCGGGCCCCGAGCATGGGGGAGGGGTGGTGTAGGGGTGAGTGAAGGCAGAGAGGTGGGAGGAAGACCAAAGGCGCAGTTGAAGACAAAGGTCTTGAGACCGGCCTTGAAGGAGGAAGCGAGGTAAGAGGGACCATGGGATGGAGTTCCAGAGTGTGGGGGCAGAGAGGCTGAAAGCCCGGCCACCGATGGTAGGGCGGATCGGGCGGGAGACATGGAGCAGACTGGAGACCCCTGAACGGAGGGAGCGGGCAGGTTGGTAGGGAGGATCTTAGAAACACAGATCACACAGGTGAGGATATATCTTATTCATGTATGATACTATGGTATTAATTGATAATAATGATACTAATTGTGGCTTTTTCATATATGAATAAGACACTGTTATTCATATATGAGCATAGTAACAGTATCAATGATCTAACCTAAACTTTGAAAGATTGATCAGAATATGTGAGTTATTGCCAGATTGCTGTTTTGTTTTACCGAACATGTTTTAACTTTATACTGTACAGTCATATTAAATGTTGGGCAGGAAGACAAATATTATGGTGTATTTTAGATCATAAAACACTGTAGTTTTAATAAAAACAAGAATTGTTGGAAATTCAAAGCAGGTTGATCAGCATGTGAATGAAAAAGATAGATTGAAGTGTTGGTTACAATCCTTCATCAAAACAGGGTTGAGTTCAGCAAAATTGAGCTTTGATGAAGGCCCACCACACCTGTACTGTGAGCTTATCTTTTTCTTTCAAATGCTGATGCCATGTGTATTCAAAATTCAGCATTTACTTTGTTTTATATTTATCGTTAACATTCAGACTTTGTTATCGCAGTTCAGAATGTCTTTCATATCTTTCTGCTGGACTTTACAATCATATTCTTGGAACGTCACCTCCAGCATTAGTTATTCCATTTGCGGCAATTTATAGTTGTTTTGTTGTGTATATATATATATGTATATACATATGTATCAGATGCAAGAATTATTATTATTGTCCTTTAAAGCTCACATTGGTGCTCTGACCTCCCCAGCTTCCCCCACCTCCATAAAATTGTCCATCCATGCCACTATCTTTCCCTCAAGACCCTCGGTCAGGTCCAGGTTTGGCGTTGCCAATTCTCTGTTCACCAGACTACCTAATTCTTCCCTTCATAAGCTGCAGACTATCCAGAACACTGTAGCTCTTTGACAGTGCCTTCGGCCATCTTCCTCCTCTACCCCCACCCCACCCGTTGTTCCCACCTCCAGTAACTTGCTGCAAACTCTGGACTGTTCAGCACCCTGGGATATCTCCCTGATGTTAAAGGTGCTATAGAAATGTATATTTGTTACATTAAAACAAATGTATATTTTTTTATTGGTATTATATTGTTAGTACCACTTCAGTAACAAATTAGAGGGATCTTCAATGCTTATTCTGCATATTAAATAGTAAATGAAAAATTGAACTAAATGTTGGTATTTCTTGTCTCTGTTGAAATTAGTTTATGATTCTCCATTGCGAATGCTACTGCCTTCTCAAGACATGCAAGCACAGTATTATGCTGGTAGGACCTACTGGAGCTCCAGTGCAATGTACCACAGTGTTAGAATGTAGCTTCATGCCAGCATTTGCCCAGTGGTGAATTCATGTTGCGAGGGACCTGCAGAGTAGAAGCCAGATGCTTCCCCACTATGGAAAAGGAAAATGAAAGGCAATGGAATTAGAAACAGTGTAGAACAGCAGGTTTCCTGCCCAAACCCCAACCCCACCCCCTTAATACAATGGGAAAGGGAAGAAATATTTTAAACATTACCAAAAAATTGATGTGTGCTTGAATACAGTGCAGGTTCTCAACCCTATTGTTTTACAAATTGTAGCCATTCTGTAATGCTTGAAAAAGCAACTGGTCTGCAATGAAAGGAGTCATCATTGCAATATCGTCTGCAGTGTTTCTTAACAGGATTCCAGGTCATACAACTGGGGACTCCTTCCAGCAAACAGAGATACATTAAATATTACTGACCCATGAGATCTTTGCTCCAATATGGTCTATTTCTGGAGCAGAATTCCTGTGGGAATTCTAACAGGATTCTTTATTAAGGGATCACATTAAGAAAAGCTATAATTATACCCTATGTGTAATCTTGATTGTATACATGGGTAGGTTTGTAATCAATGTATAATTTGCTAACTGTATGTTGCTAGTTGAATATTGACTTCACTGAAGCAACATATCTGACATGATATTCTTAGAGGTTTTAAACTTATTCTTTTCTTTGTCATAGGTTTTCGCTACCTTACGAAGAACTTAATGAGTCTGGCAAAAGGCCGCGTGGTCCTGGCTCTGGAAGGTGGGCACAATCTTAGCGCCATCTGTGATGCGTCAGAAGCCTGTGTTTACACGCTGCTAGGAAATGAGGTACAATTTGCTGGCAAGTCAATGCTCAGCTAGAACTTTCCAATCTTGCTGGTACTTTCCTTTCTTGACTGTCTTAGCTTTCGTTCACATTTTGGAAATGCTTGTTCTACCAAAAGGCTCTTGACAGCATATCATTAACAAGGCTTTATTTGTGATTTGATGAACGACATAATTAACCCACTTATTTTCGTAGATCAGTTTCACAGTTATTAAAATGTGGAATAGCTTCAGTGCAAGTTCTGGATAGCTGCAATTTACAGTTCCTTTGATTTCAGGCATTTTAATGGGATCTAATTGCAGAGACCACCAAATGACTTCTGTATGGATATTCTGTGTTTTCTCACAAGTATTTGTTCATGTGTTGGGAATTTAAGTTCATAAACATTTGATTGTTTTTGCTCCCAAAATATTTCACTTTGTACATTGTTTGCTTTGGCCTGCACCTCTGAATCAAGCAACACATACACGCACACACATACATAATGTTTGACAATCAGTGGAATAATATAAACTAATTATGAAAATAGCTTTTGTTTCTAGTCATTGTTATAAAATAAATGAATCAGAGATGTAGGTGTGGGCCAATAGCAAACAGGAACCTTGTGGGTGCTCTCCACTTCCAAACAACTGTCAGCTAATTATGTTGATGGAAGTGCAGTCTGTTACTGTAATTCCAGAATAAGCAAGAGGGTAAATTTGATAGTTTGCCTACATGACACTTAATCTTGAGAACAATGAATGTTTTGTCAATTGAAGAGGTTGTAGTCTTTTATCTGATATTGCTAAGAATGATATGGCTTCACAAATAAGTTCAACAATTAATCCATGTTTATATTCCAAGAGTGCAAGATTATCTGACCTTATAAATAAAAAGAAACTAAGCGTATCATTTAGAAGAGACCAGAGTGAACAAAAGGCCTTAGATTGTTTTTTTTAATGTTGGGTTCCTTGGGGATATTTTCAAACAACATAGCAAATATGTTTTGCAGTTCTAATCTTTTTTCGGTGAAGGAGGTTTTGTGCCACCTGAATAATTTTCAACGCTTCATTTTGTGGCCATGAAAAGTATTTACTCTGGTTTAGAACTTTTCAAAACTCACTCAAATTTTGACATGGTGCCAGCACAAAAGTCTCACGTAGAGCTGCAGTATTTTCAAATACTTTTCTTGGAGCAACTGATCCAATTTTCATTCAGTCGTGAGAAGCAAGGCATGAACAATTGTGCAAAGAAGCTATGTGTTTTTTAAAAGAAACAATATCAATAAAACAACAGGGTAATGTTTGTTTGTCACTGTATCCCATAATCAGAGCACATTTGACTAAGAATCCACACACTCAACACAAATTCTAGTGATCTTTTTACTGCATGTTTAGGATGTTATTTCTTATTATAAATCTCTAACAAAAGATTACTAGTACTGCTACTACTAATAATAATCCTTGCATTTTATATAGAGCCTTATCACATTGTTGAGACATCTCAAAGTGCTTTCCAGAATATACTGCAAAGTGAATTGACTAGATTTTTTGTGGGTGAAACGCTGCAGCCAATTGTGCACAGCATTACTGATCAGCATGTGGTAGACCCAAAAAATCAAAAGAAGATTGTAACTTTCTATAGATCACTGAGGACATCATTTGCAACAACCAAAGTTGTGGTGAATCTGAAATTTATCACATGCAGACAGAGACAGACAACCACACTTCTCTCATTATGCCATTCTCAATCATGAAGTCTGAGAAGCTAAATCCACATCTTTGCATTTCTGAATCTCAGAAAACAGCCTTTAACTGCTGGATACTGGGATACTGCTACTTTTCAATAAAAAACTCAAAGAACTGGAACTTGCTATCACCTTGTTGGGGGTGGTGTTTGTTTGTGGTGGGGTGGTGGTTGGGGGTGCATAGTTCACCTCCAAATCATTTGATGTGATACATATCACATGAAACATGTATTTGATCCCACAGGTTTGCCATTTTGGCTGCTCTACCTTCAATGGGAAATGAAGCATTGGAGATGGTACAGATACAGAGGAGCGTACCTTTATCCCCATGTTCTTATGTCCAAAGTCACATGAGAAACTAGTGGGATATCATTCATTCGTTTCTCATATGGGCACCATGATTTGAGTTAAAAATGTGAAGGAAAAAAACAATATTTGCTTCTTTCATTTGATATTGCCCATTTCGCCTACAAAATACACAGTCCTTACAGTATATTCTGTGAAGCGGTTTGAGATGTCTCGACCATGTGATAAGGAGCTATATCAAATACAATGATAATATTCTTATTATTATCGATTTAATATGTACATTTTTATTATTTCTCTGTTGAGACTGGGATTGGAAATAACACTGTATCTCTATCATTCATGCATCATCACCTAAAAGAGAAGTAAAGCCGAGGCAGAATACTTTCAGTGTAAAGTATTCATCCATCTGTCCAAAAAAAGCTTAGTACCACCTATGTTTACAGCAGTAATCAGCTGGCACTATCCCTTCTTGGCGTTGTTCCTCCAGATGCACATCCTGTTCTGTCTGAAGCTCTCTTTCTGGGCCACTTAGTGGAGCCAGTCAGGGGACTTCATCATTGAAGTGGGTTTCAGAAGTGAAAAGAAACCTGATACAAATATTGACAATTAGGAATTTGGACTGATTAAGTTGAATGTTGTCTCCTACAGAATAGAAATAGATGCATACAGGAGTCTAAAATATGATATGTGTGAACAGATCACAAACAGAGATTTAAAATATCAAATATAATTTCCTATGGAAAACCAGAAATATGTTACAATGGCCATGACAATGGCCAGCAAGTAAAAGCACAGGCTTGAGCAATATTGTTTGATTGAAGTATTGAAGTAGAAACCATTGTTTGATTGAAGTATTTGTTCAGACTGCACTTATCCTCATACCCACTAATAAAATTCTCAAGGAGATGTATATCCAGCTCAACTACAGTTGAGCTAATTGATACAAAATCAACTTTTTTTGTAATGTTTATGCTCCATAGAGCTATTAGTTCTTAGAGTTCAGAACATTGCAAGTCTGGTCTTTGTTGAATAAGATACTTTCAGTTAGGCATCTGCAATTAACCAGAATATGGACTGCCCTGGCAAAAGATAGCTGTTGGAGCCAAGTGTATAGCAATGTTTGAAAAGGAATAGGATAATTACTTTGGAAAACAACGTTAAAAGGTGAGTGAAAATAAATAGTGAATGGAATCAGAGAAGATAATTACAGAATGGGGAGGGAGGACAGAGCTAGTATCAATACAGACATAGTGGCGTATGTTATGCCCTTCTATGTTGTAAATATTCCTTGATATTAAACCTTTTCTGCCCCAGCTAGTTGCTAAATGTTACAGACTCCCTGGAAAAAAACCTTTTATTGCTCTTGGTGTAAATAAACAACTAAATAACATTATGGGATATAGTACATAGGTAGTTCGGGACACAAGGTGACCGCCAGGAAGGTGGAAGGTTAACTAAGTGGACCTTGGTCTTTTCTCGTCTAGCATTTCTTATGTTCTAATGGTGTGCATTTCTTAGTTATATTTAAATCAGGACAAAGGCAAAGAAATTTACACTCTTCTTCTCAAAAAGGATTCTAAGAATCCGGATACACTGGGAGGTAGGATACAGTCCCACATTACACATGATGGTAACTGTGCATAGGATACATCAGCTAAATATAATCCATAAGAGAGCATGGCCCAGAGTCAAATTATTGTGAGATGAATGCATTTCTGCTGTTTCTAGATGACACTGTTTCAAAGATAATATTGATTCCTCTGTTTGGTTGGGAGTCAGCATTCCCCCAATCTCCACCCCCTTACAATTTGTCATGCTATTCAAGAACCAGCCAGGTGCTCTTTGGTTGAGTGCATGCAGAACTTGCCTCAGCTTTAGCCAATTCAATATTCAACCAAGAAGCATAAATCAGGCTTCCCACTCCTAATCATTTTGCTGCTGGGACCTCCTTCACAGTGAGTTGTGGCACTCGCCCATCAATTCTTATTTCCCATCCATACGAGAAATTGGCTGACTTCCAGTCTGTACCTACCCTTGATGACATGCCTGAAATTGGGAACATGTGGGTGTAGGATGAGTGAAGTGAAGGGGTGAGGGGAATTATCGAGATAGGCAACACCCTGTTGAATTGAGAAGTTGAGAAATTGTTAATGGTATTTTTATTTAGAGCCCAGAATAGGTCATTCAAATGACTAATCATTGGAAATAGTACTTCAGTGAAATACTATGCTATGCATTATACTGTGTAAATAGCAGAAAGTGGCTTTAACACTTGGGTGTGACAACATCACAGCTGATGTACTTCCATAAATCCCAAGATAATTAGAAGCTCTCAATGTAATGTATCTGGAAGGAAGTGTCCTGTGAGGTGGAAAGGGATTAATCAGCTGGGTGCTCTTGAGCCAAAATGAAAACATTAAGGATCTAAGAATGCAGTCCACTATGAAGTAGGGAAGAGGAAGCGATGATTTAGTTCAGGAAAGATAAAAAAGTGAAGATCAGAACTATTTATCTACATTATTATCAAGATAAACACGCCAGAATAATATATTTGGATGATCTTTCATCATACATTTTGAAAATAGAGCCAAGAACATGGACACATTTCATGATAAATGACCATTATTACAGTTTTTTTTCACCTACTTCTGCTTCTCAAACCAATTAAACAGTTAATAAAGTGGGCTGAAAGTAGTCAAAACGATTTCCAGTGAGCCAAATGGGACTTTCTTCATCCAAAAGATTCCCAGTTGGAAAAAGGTTTGGAGCTACAAGAAAATGTTTTTTAAGCAGCAAATTGACTCATCTTATCACAAGGTTATTTGAATCCTTACAGCTGGAGCCTCTTCCCCAAGACATTCGGCTTCAGAAGCCAAACGCCAATGCCGTGGCTTCCCTGGAAAGAACAATTGAAATTCAAAGTAAGTCATACAAGCAGCATATGTTTAATTACAAAGAAATGATTTATTATCCAGCAAGTGCCAGTAAGGTCTCTGTTTACTACTTTCTTAAACCAATATGTCAGTGTCACTAATTGCATACGGGCTCATGTTCAGAGATGAAACAACATCATATATATACAAATATATCGCATAAAAACAATGAAAAGAAACTTTCATTTAATGTTAAAATGAAACACAAGGCGATGATTTACTCAAGTCTTTCTTAAAACAAACACATTTTAGACCAGAGTTCTTTCTCCACAGAGTACAATAGCTTTACTTTGTCTATTCCAGAAGAGAAAAATCTTGGAAACTCTCCAGTATAAGCCACAGTCCATACTTGCATTGATAAAAAGGTCTAGAAATCAAATTCTCCCATTCTTCATTTATAAAATTTTGAACTCAGTGGAGAAAACTGGCAGATTTCTCTCAAATGAATAACAAATACTCTAACAATATTGGCATCAGAATTGCGTGGTGAGAATGAGCGGTCCATTAAATCCTGGCACATTGCAATTGCTTTACAGTTATGAGAACTGAAACATTTTCCACCGTAACTTCTATCAACTCCAATTATAACTTGTAAAATTATCTGAATTGCTTGAAAAGAACAGGGCTGTAGAAGTTTTTGTACGATGATCTGTTGCCAAGAATACAGCCTGCTGAATGCAATAACCACAGCTCCTTCATCCCTAATATATCACTAATGGGAGTAGTTTCTGCAATATTGGCAAATTTGAAATGATGTTATCAGTTTTTCTTTGTGTGAGAAAAAATTCTGCTAACCTTTTACATCAGTGGACATAAACCAACATTAACGTTAATCATTTTACACGCTGCCGATAGATTGATCATCTGGGCTGTTTATTTTCCCTCAAAAAACTGCTGTTGAGATGTTGATAAAACACGGCTTGCATTTTTAATACACCCTTCATGTAGGATAATGTATCAATGTGCTTCACATTCTCCTGTAAAAAAATTGTCTGCAATCAGTCTCATCAGAGAGAGAATATTTGGGGAAGAAAGCTGCAAATGACACCCCAACCACACACACACACACACACACACATCTCCTTTCCACCAGGATCTAGGTGTCTTGAATTGGGCCTGAGCATTTCTTTAATCCACTTCTGCTCCCATTCATGGAAAATTTTTGTTTGACTTCTGCTAAAACAAACTTAACACAGTTGGTACACTATGAAGCAGGACTCAAATACTGAAGGAAAAGAAACGTCAGGTCTGCTTAGCAGCAAGGTGGTTGCCAAACTTTTTGAAATTGAGCTTTGGACCAAGTCATTGTACTCAGGTCCATCGCCAGTCTTTAGAAATTGGTGAGTCAGCCTGGCTCTGTTGGTAGTAGTCTCACCTCTGAGTCACAAGGCTATAGGTTCAAGCCCCATAATAATAATAATTCTTCCATTTGATTCAGCACATTATCACATCATCAAGACAACTCAAAGCAATTCATAGGATACACTGTAAAGGGGTGTGACTGTATTTTCTAGGAAATACGGCAGCCAATTTGTGCACACAGTGTCCTACAAACAAGCATGCCAGGCCTTGGAAATCTAGGCTGACACCCCATTGCAGTACTGGGGTGGGGGGGGCGGTGGTACATTGTTGGAAGTGCAGTGCTTCAGCTGAGACATTAAAATTATATTATACCTGCCTGTTTAGTTGCAAGTTGGTACCATTCAAAAATGAGTTTCTACAGATATCCTAGTCAACAATCCCCTAAATATAATCAGTTACTCATTTCATAACTATTCGTGGGACATTGATATATGAAAATTGGCTGTCGTGTTTCCCTACACAAACAACAACAATATGATTGCATTTATAGAGCGCCTTTCATGTCAGGAGGACGTCCCAAGGCGCTGGACAGTTGGGTCGGGTGGCGTAACAATTAGATAATTGGCCAAGATTACTGTTCCTTCTATCTAGAGACCTCTGGTAGAAGATGTTTATGGACATTGTATGAGGACAATATCTGCTTTGTCTGTGACATACTCTTTATTCAAACAATCTGACACACATTCATTGTCAAGGGCAAGAAACACCTTCGGGAAAAGTGGGGGAGAAAATCAGGATTTTTTTTAAAAACAAAAACTACTGGTAGGAATAAAGAAGTGTTTTGCTAACACCGGGATCATTTCTCAAAACTGTGTGAAATCCCTTCTTTATCCACCTCAGAAGCTTCTACTCTCCTGAGAAGGAGCTCCTGCTGCGAAAGCCTGGAATATCCAATACAGCGATGGAGAAATGTCAAGGGAAAAAAATCTTCACAAAAGCAAAAATGATGCTTGAAAAAACACATGGCAACAATGAGTGAGAAGTTGCAGATTTAAATAGATTACAGCACACTAGAATCATTTATTTAAAACACAGGATTCTTACAGCTCAGTTCAGCTTAATGTGGCTATGAGCAGTTTTGGGATCCTGCAGAGCTTCACTTCGCCTTGTGCCAACATGGTCTCTAATGTGATTAAAAACAAATTGATGATAACTTTGCCCCATCTGATTCATTTTTAATTATATCACATAGTGTTTGCCTGCAGGACTCCTTGTGACCTGATCCCAGAAATTCATTTTTTTCTCAGTGGGATATTGTTGTGGGGGAGGATTTTATATCACACAGAAACAAATGCTTAAACTTTTAAATCAGGAGTTTATAAAAAGTTATCATGGCTTTGTGAAACCAAGCTAAACACATCTAAATGCTGACACCATTTATTTCAGTTTCCAAATGCAATTAGACATTTTTAACACCCATTCTTTTCATACAAATGATAAAAAAGTAAACTATTGCAAACTCCTGCTTTGTCTGACCTGCTTATTTTTGGTAAACATTATGCTTATCGGGGCAAAGGATGCTCGAGTTGAAGAATGGAAAGCATTCCTACGTCAACACCTTCTGTAAGCAACAATGCCAATTTGACGTTTATTTTTCCCACGCTTGCCATTGAATAAGATCTCAAACTTTGTACCAAATTCGGGGGAAGTTTGATGCTTCAAATCCAGACCCACTGGGAGCTGGGCTGAGATTGCCTAGTTTCATTTCACACTGATCTCTTACAGCCAGCCGAGAGAGCAGACCTTTGGCCCATTAATTTCAGTAAGATTTGAACCCAGCTCCCTTAGGCAGAACTTCTAAATTACTCTTGAGCTACATTTTTGAAGCCTTCCCAGTCAGACTCTTATAAACTGTTCCTTAAATGGAGTTTGCACGCAACTGCCTTGCATTTGTGACACATGATGTTGTCGCTGGGCCACATGATCATGATTTGCAAACATTCCAGGTGCTATGGAGTACCTCTGTAAATGTACTGAAGAGATCAAATGAAATTGGGCACCAGAACAGAATGACACCTAGATATTAGTCCAGCTCATTTAGGTCAAGAAAATGTGAGTTCAAGCGTCTCATCAAGATGAGATATCTTGCATTCTCGGCTGACATGCCCATGTGGTACTGGGTAGTGTTGCAATGTTGGTGGGTACGTTTAGTTGAGACGTTAAACCAAGGTTCCTTCTGCCTATTCAGATGGACATTAATAATCTTATTACACTGTTTACAAAGAGAAGCAAACTTCTCCCAGTGTTTTTGGCATTTCATCACATAGCTGTGAATGAGAGTTGTTGTGTTTGCCTGCAAAAAAAAATACAAATTTATATATATATAGCGCATTTCACTTTGGAAGTATGTGAAAATGGTCACAACAGTTAAAAGTAATTTATGTATTAAACACTTTGAGATATTATGGGATGATAACTCACTATAAAATGCAAGTTCTTTTTTTCTTTTGAGAAGTGCAGAAAGTAGTAAATGATTTATTCACAATTATTAAAAAATGAAATGACAAGGGGGTTACTCAATGTTTTCATACAGAATTTGATTTTATGAGTAATCCCTTCAGCCTCACTGCTGCAACATAATTAGATAATTCTACAGTTGTAACAAATATCCTAGTGACACCACCCCAATGTCTTGTGTTCAGTTTCAAACATTCGCTTTGTTAGTGGGGGACGGTAGTGTGCGGGGATGGGGGGAGTAGGGGGGGGGAGGAGGAGGTATTCTTTCACTGAAGCTAACAGATGTTTTCCATTAGGCCAGAAGCAGGGGCACTACAGTTGACTTCATTGTCTCCAGGATAGGGAGGGGGAAAACATGCCCAATTGTTATCCAGGGAGAGAAAAAAACAATCCCAATTGTTTCCAGAGAGGGAGAAAAAGCATTCCCAAATTGTTAGCCATTGAGTCCTGCAGGAAGGTATGCACGTATAGATAGGTTCAGGCTAGACTGTGGTGGGCTCCAAGGGCAAATACGCTGCTGACATTTGCCTGCATGAGGTTCCGGAGAGTTGCTGGTGCCAGTGGAACTGAACCCCAATGACAATCAAAGAAAAAAAGGGGAAACAATAGAGGAAAAGAAGAGAAACCTATTGCAAGCCATTGGGCAATGTTGTTAAAAGCATTGTGACAACTGTAGAAATGGAAGATATTTCCATCACTGCCAGCACATACATCAGTGTGATTCAAGGAGTGATTATTTGATTAACAGGAGCTATCTTTTCCATTGGTATCCAGCACACTGACAGATGGTGTGAGCTTATTAACAGAGAATCGCAAGTGATCGCTGAGGTCGATTTACTGACACAAAGATGTGTCATTGACATTGAAAAGACATGAGCTAACATCTATGATGATTCTTATATGTAAGGTAAATCAGGCTATATTAAGTACAATCATTAAATGTTTATACAAATGCAGTGTTTGGCGAAAAAAGTGCTATTAGTAAAATGATAATTGTCAGTGATAATTATCAACAATGGTAAAAAATGAAATGACAAGAGGGTTACTCAATGTTTTCATACAGAATTTGATTTTAGCAGTAATCCCTTCAGCCTCACTGCTGCAACATAATTAGATAATTCTACAGTTGTAACAAATATCCTGAGACCATCTCAATGTTTCAACAATGATAACTATTAATGATGGCATTTATCACATCATGTAACATGTTTTTCACCCCATGAGATCTGTTTCATGTTTTGCACGATTTCTGACTAACAAACAATAAGCATTTAATAACATCATCTTCACTGTACATTTCTAGGTAAATACTGGAAATCAGTGCAGCGGTACACTTCAACCCTGGATTGGTCTCTAATGGAAATTCAGAACTTGGAGAAGGAGGAGACAGAAACCGTCACCGCGATGGCATCACTCTCAGTCGATGCCAAACAAAGGCATTTAGAGGAAGAAAATAGGTCGGTAACTCCAACAAGCAAAGAACAGAATTTAATATAAAATACTAAAAGGATTTTTCTTAAAACTGCCAGCACAGACACAATGGGCTGAATGGCCTTCTTCTGTGCTGTAAATTTTGGTAGTTCTATGGGGGATATTTTTCTAAACAAGCTGAAACAATTGCGTATTATTTCAACAAAACTGTTTGATGGTAGGGTCTGAATGTGTGCATTCCATGGGACAGAGTTGATGTTCATACAATCAAGCCCTGTAAATATGCTATAATTGTATTTCAAATACTTTCCTAAATGTGTGTGCAATTGGAACAGTGACTTTTAGATATCAATGCAATATTTGCCTATGGTTGCTTTGCAATATCAAGAGTCAGTATTGAAGTGTGGGAAAGGGGGAAAAATAATGAACTGAGTTGGGTTTCTTTCATTTCCCAATTTGCATTCTCTTACCCATTCTTTTCTAGAGATGACATTCACTGGAGTATGATTCCATGAGGTTTGGTAGTCTTGGTACCTCACTCAATTGGTCTTTCTTCGTGTGTGAGCCTGATAATGAATACCAGCAAACTATTCAATCATTGAATATTAAAGCTGAGTTCAGCCCTGACTTTGTCCAATCTCCATATGTAAATTTCCAACAGGGATTACTGGACAGAAATCTAGAACGGATTGCATTTGTCTTCCATCCTTAGGGAAGGCCAAAAGGGATGCCTCAGAGGGGACATGAAGGGACATATAAAGAGAGAGGAAAATAAACCCTAGCAATAGTTTCACGTACTATAGGATAATGGGGCACATTTTCAATCAAGTTTAGGAAAAGGTGCCAGGAAGCAGAAGCTAAACAGTAATAGCTACAACGGTTTACCAGGAACGATGTTGGCGGCAGGAACATTAGGCTCTGTTTAAAAAAAAGCCTGAAGCTGTAATGAGAAGACGAGAGGATTGGTATTGGTTCGGAATGGAGTAGTTGGACCGCCTGGCCTGTTTTCTGTGCTGTATCACTCCACATAACTATGCATTCTGGAAGAAGAAGAATAATCCTTGCATTTGATATAGGGCTCGCTATATCAAATACAAAATATACAGACAATTCACTTTACAGTACATTATGTGAAGCGCTTTGAGCCATCTCGAAGACATAATAAGGCATTATATCAAAGTCAGTCAAGTTCAGTACCATTTCACGTGGCACACCTGGAACTGACTGTAGTTTTTGGCTTTTGACTTTTGGCTAACAATGATTAACACTTTTCAAACTCTATAGATATATTTTAATAATACCTTCACTTTCAAAGGATTTAGAAGGATGGAATGGGAAATACAAATAAGAAGTATATGAATAAAGAATTAAAGGATTGTGAAAAAATTCCAACCTCTTTCTCACAAATAATGCAGTAGGGACCTCATCATTTTCTTTTATATGTTCAGAGGAATGTTAATGTCACAGTAAAATCTATCCAATTCTGAATGAGCAGCAAATGTGAAATTCCCAAACTATTACAGCCTAGTGCAGTCCTGACTCATTTCCACTAACGAACCTCCAGTTTTAATATCCATGTTACATGGATAAGAGATGCCAAATCACTAACACTGCTAACTTCTGCTTCTCCTGAGGGGAGATTTAACCACATGATAGCTTCTGTGTACCAACCACAGAATCCTGACATCATGCACTGTACATAATGCAGATCTTTCACATAGTTTTGAAGAGAGGACACTCACTGTGTTATGTTGGGGTTATGTTTGCTGAGCAAAATGTATGGATCACACTGCAATATATTGCAATACAATTAAATGTAACACAATACAATAACATAATTTCAATGCAATAGAATAATTAAATACATTGATTTGATCACATTATAACTCATACAAATACGATACTGGGAATTAATTCAGCAAGCAATATTCATTCATGTGAAGGGTGCTATATAAACACAATTTATATTTATATAGCACCCTTCACATGGATAGCATCTCAACAATGCAATCAAGTTGAAATGTGTTGATTCATAATCTTTATGCTTTGACAAGACAAACTATCAGAAATATGTTGTCCATATTGTCTCTCATTTTTTTGTGTTCCTGATGTACTCCCAAGATAAACTAACAGAGATGACCAAAAACCTATATTATATAGTGTTTTATCATATCAAAAAATCTCAAATTGCTTCACAAGTAATTATTGTCAAGTTTAGTGATTGGTTTGGTAAGCAAACTCACTTGCACTAGCAAGATCCCACAAAAAGCCAAGAGATAAATCGTCATTTAGGTTAGAAGATTGTTAGTCAGGACATCAGGAGAAACTTCCTTCTCTTTTGAATAATGATACAAGATCTTTCAGAAATGAAAGATAGAATATCCGTAAAATGGCACCTTTACTAATCTGTAAGATTGTACTGCCACTAATCCAGTTGCCTCTCCTAACACTCCCTCCCATTCTGTTTGTCACTTCCTGCCTGGATTACTCAAACGCTCTGCTCACTGGTCTCCCCAGCTCCACTATTCAAAAAATCCAGTTCATTCAGAGCTCTGCTGCTCGCATACTTACCCAAACCAAACTCCGTACCCCCATCTCACCAGTTCTGGCCAGGCTCCACTGGCTCCCCATCACCGAACGGATCCACTTCAAGATCCTCACACTCGTGTTAAAATCCATTTACCCCGGCATCTCCCTCCCTCTCTGACCTCCTCACTCCCTGATCCACCACCCAGCGCCTCTGCTTAACTGGAACCGGCCTTGTCCCTCACACCTCCCTCCCTCCCAAACACACACCCACCCCATCCTCTCCCCCCCACCTGGTTCAGAGTCAGGGTCCGACACTGTTAAGCACTTTGAGATGCTACCCTGCATGGAGGGCACTATATAAGTGCAGGTTGTTGTTGTAATAACTCACTGGAGTATCAACCTGGATAATGAATTCATGCCCCAAGAACTTGAGATTTGAACCCATCACCTTCTGGCCCAAAAGCAAGAATGCTTGCCTGTAAGCCAAGATGATAAAATGATTATGTTCAATAGCAAAACACAAAACGTACACAATGGGCAGAAAAATAGGTTCACAAGAGGGGCTAGTTTAAACTTTGCGCTTGTGGTTTATGAAGCTTTAAATCACTCTTGATAAAATAGCTGCATTTTGATTGACAGAGTTATAAAAATCCTCACATATTCATTGAGAAAGCTGATTTTCTCTTTTTTTATTGCATCTTCTACATGCTTCTTCATAAAAGTCTTCCTACTGCTGGTTTGATTGACTGTTAGTTTGACCTGTATTTGACATCTGCTTAAATGAGTATTTATTACTTTATTTAATGTGGGATTTAATGCTGAGCTCCATCATGCACATTGAGAACTATTTTCAGTCAGAATTGCTTCATCCCCTAAATGTTGGTGGCATATTAATGACATAGAACCTGTTCAGATTAGCTAGAGAGCCATGGATTATTTCTTCTAATGCCCTCTTTATACTCTTGGAAGTAAAGTGATTTTGGTGCAGGAAACCTAATTTATTTCATTCACCCATTTCCACCTACCCTTGCAGAACAAGCAAAGCCTGTACAGCTGAGAGATGTGAAGAGGTCCTCTAAATAGCGCCAAATCTGAGTTGCGTTTTAATGTTACCGAAGAGCCAGAGTCCTAAAATTCCACCTATTCTTTGGCTGTAAAACTAGATTACCTTGAAATGTAATATTGGGCAAAATTGTGGAAAATTCAGACTTAACTTTGAAAACTTTTTGGTTTTAGAATTGCAGAAAACAGTCTTACAATTGATATAATAAAAAGGTTGAATCTAAGAATTTTCTACAACTCTGCTTAATCTGAATGGCCTTAAAACAAAACGGTCCCCCAGGCTAAAACTAAGGCGCATTCCGAGCCTGAATTACATTAAAAACATTTTATGGTCATCTATTGGATTGACCAGATCGAGCTTTGAAGAGTAACATTTTCCTAAGTCTGAAAGTTGTGTTGAATTTTCTGCAGTACAACTGAATTTATACTACAACAACAACAACAACAACTTGGATTTATATAGCGCCCTCCACGCCGCACGGCGTCTCAGAGCGATTCACAGTAACAGATCCCGGGACCGAGCCAGGGGGAGGGGGAGGAAGGTGACCAAAGGTGCGGTCGAAAAGAAAGGTCTTCAGCAGAGACCTGAAGATAGGAAGGGAGGGAGCGAGATGAAGGGAGTGAGGAAGGCAGTTCCAGAGCCTTGGGGCATAGTGGCTGAAGGCACGGCCGCCGAGGGTGGAGCAGAGAACTTGGGGCACAAGGAGGAGGCCAGACCCGGAGGAACGAAGGCAACGGGTACTGTTTTGAGGAGAGAGGAGGTCAGAGAGGTAGGGGGGTGCAGAGGAGTACAGGGACTTGAATACAAGGGTGAGGATCTTGAAATCGATCCTCTCTGGGACAGGCAGCCAGTTCAGTCTGGCAAGGACTGGGGTGATCGGGGAGCGGAGTTTCGTGCGGGTGAGAATGCGGGTGGCAGAGTTCTGAATGATTTGGTAGTGGATGGGAGACCGGCGAGGAGGGTGTTAGAGTAGTCCAGCCGAGAGGTGACAAAGGTATGGACCAGGGTTTCAGTGGCTTTTGGAGAGAGGTATTGGCGGAGACGGGTGACGCGTTGAGGTGGAAGAAAGCAGTGCTGGTGAGGGACCGGATGTGGGGGAGAAAGGATAATTGGGGGTCGAACCTGACGAAGCGTACGCATTCGGAGAGTTTTATTGGGAGGTCGGGTAGGTGGAGGAGGTGAGAGCCATCAGATTTTAGACGTTGACGAGAGCCAAAGAGTATGGCTTCCGTCTTGTCAACGTTCAGCTGAAGGAAGTTTGCGCTCATCCAGCCCCTGAGATCTGACAGGCAGGCTGACAGAACATCAGGGGACTGGGGGTCGCAAAGTGAGGTGGAAAAGTAGAGTTGGGTGTCATCTGCATACATGTGGAAATGTACCCCATGTCTATGAATGACATCCCCAAGAGGGAACATGTAGATCAGAAAGAGGAGGGGGCCAAGGATGGATCCTTGGGGTACCCCGCAGGTAACCGGGTGAGAGCGAAAGGAGAAGCTGTTTGTGCAGATGTACTGCTGGCAGTTTGTACGGTAGGACTAGAACCAGGCGAGTGCGGTCCCACTGAGGTGGATGACGAAGGAAAGGCGGTGGAGGAGGATGGCGTGATCGACTGTGTCGAACGCGGTGGAGAGGTCCAGGAGGACAAGGAGGCAGAGGGAGCCCTGGTCACAGATAGAGAGGATGTCATTTGTGACTTTCACAAGCGCAGTTTCTATACTGTGGACAGAGCGGTACCGGGCTGGAGGGGTTCGAAGAGGGAGTGGGAGGAGAGGTGTGCGCGAAGTTGGTTGGCAACAGCGCTTTCTAGAACTTTTGAGAACTTTTGAGAAGGGCAGATTAGAAATAAGGCAGTAGTGGCTGAGGTTTGAGGGATTTAGGGAGGGTTTTTTCAGGAAGAGGGTGATGACAGCAGTTTTGAGGGAGGCAGGGACTGATCCGGAGGAGAGGGACTGGTTGATGATGTCAGCCAGTAGTGGGCAGAGGAGGGGGAGCTGGGTGACCAGTAAGTTGGTGGGGAGGGGGTCGAGGCAGCAGCACTACAGCATACTATTAATTCAGTCCTGAAACTGTCTCCTTGATGAATCTTTGGGACTGGGACTCAAAATTGAATCATTGTCTGTAAAACCAGAGCTGTACTGCACTTTTAGTAACAATGAATTGGCATATCTAGGGCAGCGCAAATGGGGTGATAGTTTCAGTGTCTTAGATTGCTATTACTATAAATGTTATCACATTTGGAAACAGTCATTAACCATTATTCATTCCCTTTTTTGCATTGTTTGAGGGAAAGATGCTTTATTTATAAATAACTGCATAGCACAAATAAACACTTTGTACAGTTCAAATTCAACTCTGACCGAGTGTAAAGATTGTAAATGTCTCTGTGTACTCCATTCTGATTGTATGTTTGTTTTTCCAGAGGTCCAGATGAACCAATGGAAGAAGAGCCAGCTTTGTGAAGTGCCAAGTTCATCCAGCTATTTCCTTTGTATGACATCATTGTTGATCCCCAAAAGCTCTCTCAGACATGTGGTGTCTGCTGTTTGGGTAGTGTAAATCAGCTGGACCTTTCAGACAGAGCAGCAACCTACAAATAGTGACAACTTCACTTGCTCTTGGAACACTTAAAAAGAGACATTTAGTTTTTTTTCATTTTAAGAAATGTCTTACAGTTCAGAAATGTCTTCAGAACTTTCTTTCGGCGTCTCTCTTTACTTCACTGCTGTTCCTTTTCTTTGGAGGCTGAAGTGCTTGTAGATTTCCAGTGAATGGTGATGGGGGATGGGGTTGTTTCTTGAAGGAAGACTTTCTAAAAGCATTGAAACCTTCAGAACTGAAGTTAAGCTGATACTGTTTCTGTGCCTTTGGAAGAAGAGGGAAAAGAATCCAAGACTTTCATCACAAAAATTGCCTTAACGTGTACCGGTACAAAAAGCTCAGCTTTTAGTTTAGGCACTTTCAAAACAGATAAAGAACTACATCAGAAAAGCTTCAAAAATTTATGTCAAGACTTATTTAGTGGCACAATAATATCTTGAAGTATTTGTTTGTCCAAGTGCCGTATTCTTTAATATCAGCATTGATTTTATGACCAACTTGTTCATTTGTTTTTGTATTTTTTGACCTGTAAATAGGTTTCACCCACTGTATTAAAGCCATAAGTGTGCATCGGATGTCTTTCTTTAATTTGTAAATTTGAATGAAACCTCAATTTCGAGCAAGCTTCTCTTACAATTTTGAATACAACAGATGATATGATCCATTTTTACTTAACACAATCTAAAACCAGAGGATCGTGGAGAAAATCAAATAACTGGTTTCATTCAAATGACAATTTTTTCTTTTGCGTCAGGCAATAATTTTTCCATAAGTGTGGATATAATTCTCAAGGTCAGTCTTTTCTTTCTCTTTATATATATAATATAAATGTACTGCAAAGTGTATTACGTTAATTGTAAAGTTAACTGTTGAATGTTTGAACATTTTGGCTATTATTCATGACAAAAATTGAGGAACTGCCCTTATCTTGATTGCTTCATGCTTTCCTCTTTATTATTTTATAACACACCTGAGATACACACTTCCCATTGAATTCCTGGGAACCCACACGATAGACAGAACAATTTATGAAGCACATGCCATTATACCCTTGTTGTAAAACAATCCAGTTGACCAGTTTTCAAACTTCAGCTTCTGATTAGCTTTCTTTTGTCCTCGGTACCCTTTTGTGAAATGGCAGTCATTAAAAAACACTTGTATTAATGAACACAAATATGAGAGTACCTGTAAATGACAATAAAAAGGAGTGAAGGATTAAAAACGACTGGAGTACAAAACATAACAAACCTATGGTGTGTTATAAAACCACTTTAGTCCTGGTTGTTTGTGCTAGAATCTTGGTGAAGTGGGAGCATCCCAGTAAACTTATTGTCCCAGAAGCCTCATTATCTTAGCCCCCAGAACTGATTTCTAATCTTTGTACTAAGACATCTATTTTGATGCTTGACTTACATGCTGGTGGTGTTTAGCTGCTTTTAAGTCTGGATATTGAACTCATATTTTATCACCGAGGCTGCCTACAAAATTGACAGTCACTACATTCTACAGTAAATCCTGTCAAGTACTTTATTAACCTTAATATTTCAAACCATGATGATGTGATAAGGTCTATGTGAAATGCAAGTATTATTATTATTTTAAAAGGAATATTGTCAGTATGACAGTGGAAAGATGTAATAGGCCCAACATTTTAGTGTAGGTTGAAGGTGAATATGAAACTCAAGGGTAAAGGGGGACATCAACAACAACAACTTGCATTTATATAGTGCTCCTCACGCAGGGTAGCTTCCCAGGGTATTTGACAGTAGTGGAGCACAACACCAAGGGGAAGTGGAGAGTTGACCCTTGGCACAGTCAAAGAAGAAGATCTTCAGGTGTGACCTGAAGATGGGTAAAGATGGATCAAGGCAGAGGGATAGAAGGACAGTGTTCCAGAGTTTCGGGAGCATAGTGGCTGTAAGCTGACTAAGTGTTGCAGTGGGCTGCACATTGCTTTTTTTTACTTCTGATAGGCTGAAAGTGTTTTGTCTGCTTCCTTTGAGGATTCCAAGTTAAATTGGTTTGAGCAGTCTCTACCCAGCTGCTCGTAGACAAATGCTTGCAGCACAAATCAGCCCAAAGGTTGGTGCTTAATTGAGCATCTCACATAGAGAAGTTGGCTGGTGTGAGAAGTAGAAAAACTCACATTATCAGATAAGCATCCTCTTCTGATGATGATGTCAAGGCATAGAGTGGACATCATATTGGACCTGGAAATGCCTGAAACTGAACTGAGTGCCCAAAATGGAAATAATTTCCATTTTCCACTAATGGCATTCCTGATGAACACAAAAAAGAAGTTTTCCACTAAATCATTAATTTAAAAAAGATCATAAAAAGTGAAACAGCCCTATAATTGCTGAGAAGACACTTAGCTGAGGTTGTTTGCTTGGGACTTTAGTAATTGTTCAGAGGGGTGAACACTGAAAATAAGTGTGGTGTTTAGAATTGCTCTTTTGTTCCTCGATCCCTGCACCCATCTCTGTTAAAACAATAATGTAATGTGAATGTCATATTCTTATAGCAACAGTGGTCTGCTATTAACTGGTGTTTGTCCACCAACCAACGATTTCTGGGCAGATGCCACAGAAACCATTGAAATATCAGATCGAAATGACACTCTCCCCCTTCTCCCCACCCTCCCCCAGTCAGTGGTCTTTAATTTGCAAGAGTCACAAATGGATTCATAGTAGCAATTCCTAAAGACATCCAGTGGTGTCGGAGACCAACTCTTTGGAACTGTGCTCTAATCCTGTTCATCCGTACAAAGCAGTAGGAGCCTCCTTTGTCCATAAGACCGAGATTGGCATCAAACACATACAAGTTCTTCAAAAGAATCCCAAGATACAAAATCATTTGCACACCTCACAAATTAGGCCCCATGTGATACAATTAGTCCATCCCATATGCACATATGATAGTATTTTGGATCTAGTGAGTAGAATGGTCGAAGATATGCCTCACCCTAACACATTGACGAAAGAGGCAGCATCAGGATTCCTTTTCAAAATCAATCTATTCAGTAGAGTGGTGAAAAAGTTAATGATTTAGTGCTTTGTGTTCTATTTCTGTCACTACTTATTTCAAACATCATTTGCTTGAATAATAACACTAATGGGTAAAACTAGCTTCTTTGAGGAGCACCTTAGCTGCATTAACAGCTGAAGATGTAATCATCAAACTGGGTGTTTCAACAATTGGTCCAGTCATTCTAACACTTGTCAGATTATTCAGCTAACCCGCGCTGTCAGGTTATGTACCTTCAATTGAATTCCCTGAATAATGTCATCAGTGAATATATTTTTTAAATTAGATGGGAGACATAGATTTTTTCTGATTATATGTCGTTTTGAAAAGGGTCCATATAGCAAGACCACTTTTCCAAATGAGAGGCCCTGAACAGCTTTTCAGATTGTGAAAATTCAGGGACTTAAATGTACTTTTGAGTTTTAAAGCATTCTAAAAGCATCAGACACCAGGAAATATTTCTTCACACAGGAGTTCATCAGGGTTACCAGGAGGAGTGACAAAAAGCAAGAAGCAAGAATCATTTAAGAAACAGCTCAATGCTGGAAAGGAAAGATGGTAGTTTAGGTTTTCTGCAAAGATGAGCTGAAAGGCATTCTTCATCTGTACCTCTCTTAGAATCGTATGACTCCAGCCTCCAGCCTCAAACTCTATATAACTCAACAGCCTTATACTGATTTCTAGGCATGGCAATGATGTTTCAAAGTTACAGACAATCTGACTATTTGGTGTAGTTCACTCCATCTTTTTTGTCACAGATGTTTACAGTTTTGTAAATGTCTGTTGCTCTGATGTTGCATGAAATGTACACACTAAGGTGGTTGTGTGTATGTATGTGTGTGTTTCTACTGTTTGAATCTACAGTTATGTTGTCTACACAGGTTTGTGTCATCGAGCACAGCTCTGGATAGAAATTCCATTTGGGTCTAGATTTACTCTATCATTGTAGCATCCAGAAATTGTTAAAATCAGTAATATTAATATATTTGATTTTAAAGATGGTTTTCCGTACATTTATTTTCAAAACTATAGAAAACGGGCTTCAAATTGAAACTGAATTTAGGAATTTGCCAAATACTGCACACTGAAATGTATGTTAATAGAATAAATCCAGATTCAAGTTGCAATTTTTCCCCAGTCATTTCTCTTTCTCAATTCCTCACCCATTTATCCAAAATGATCACTTAGTCAAAGACTGTTCAATGTATTGGCAAGTTCAGTGGTCAATGTTTTTTTGGATCCAATTGTTAACATTAAATAATGTGCTGGACTTGGTACCTCCAGTTCATACAAGTTTACAAGTGGCTTCAATCCATTTGTTTTACTGTCTGGTGTCACTATTGAACATTAGCTCAAAGTTTGTATAATCTGCTACCATTTTGCCAATGTGTGATGTAACCCTGTAAAGAATACCAGCACAATCTCTGCATATCCAACATTATGGTCATGCATCACACCCAGAAATAGTGCACTCAGCACAGTTAGCAGATGTAATCTAATGGAGATAGATTGCTGTTTAAGCAATGTAGTACTGCTACTATTATATATAAGGTGTGTGCTACACTATCTGAAACTTTGCTTCACATTTGCATGAAATGCAAAGACTGAGTATTATTTACACAGTAAGGTTTAAACCAGAATGGAACTTGCTTCAGAGTGAATTGAGGTTTGAAATTGGGATTTTGGTGACTGGATTTTACCTGATTTAGTCACCTGGAGGTGATTGAAGTTATGCTGTTGTAACCCTCACCAGGTCACTGTGAATTCAAAGCACAAATGTTTCCCAGGTTTCCAAGCATGTGAGTTCAGGCAGAGTTGAAGGTTCTAAACAGTATCTAAAATTAAAAATTTATCCTAGCTGAATAAGCTTAAGTGGAGCCTTTGAAGACTGTTTGAAAGTTTGTGCAGTAGCTTATAGCTGCAGTATTTCTTTCAGCTGGCTTGTGTAGGTTTTATTTATTTAAAAAAATACGAATTACATTGGGTATGACGTCTCTTTTCAAACATGATTTAAGTATTTTAGCCATGAGATATTCAAAATCTGTATCAAAGAATAAATTTGACCAAGAGATATTTAAATTTTTTTAGAACATTTTTTTTAGAGCAATGGGAGAGCTACTTGCAAAAGTTTGCCCAGCATTGGTGATTCTTTTTGCAAAGAATCTGATTAGATCTGGTCATAAATGAAACATGATAAGGAACTAAAAGGGTCTCTAGAGATCAGTGAACTTTCAGATATTTTCACCCATGTAAAAAAAATGCCAAAAATGCTCTCTGCAGATGTAAAGCTGAGCTTATCCAAGTGTGTTTCATTTCCTTCTATATAAATGTATTAAAAGGTGACATGAACACTATAGAGGCTTTGAAATATACCTATGGGTGAAAAACAATACTATTTTTTGTCTGTCAAAGAATGAGTGCTATTAAACAGCCAGAGAAGATTCCACAAAGCCAAATGCCACATAATATCATGTTTCACTCATTTAGTTTCTGCTTGTTGAAGTCTCACTCCTTGAATGCAGCCAGAGCAGGTGTGTACGAGTGAATACTTATGTGAATACTCTGTAGCCTCTTCCAAGTAAGTCTTTAGTCATCCCTAGAGAATGGGCTACCCGCTCTCTGATTGTGTTTTACTTTCCCTGCCTCTTGCACATTATTGTATTTCACCATGTTGGCCTGATCAAGATAAGAAAATTATCACACGAGGAATCGGAAGGCAGAATCCACAATGAATAAGCACCCTGTATAACTGGTCTGTCTGCTCAGGCCTTTCTAATCATTCAGGTTTCAGCTTCTCACCAATGCCTTAATA